TCCTTTCCTTTCCTTTCCTTTCCTTTCCTTTCCTTTCCTTTCCTTTCCTTTCCTTTCTGGTGCCTTCAAATTAGTTTTTGACTGCTGCTGACTGCCTGGTCTAGACCCTGCAGTTTTCTTGGCAAGATTTCAGAAGTGGTTTGCCCTTGCCTCCTGCTTCCTAGGGCTGAGAGGGAGTGACTGGCCCAAGGTCACCCAGCTGGCTTTGTGCCTAAAGCCAGACCAGAACTCACAGCCTCCCAGTTTCTAGCCTCTAGCCTGATGCCTTAACCACTACACCAAACTGGCTCTCGTGTTATACAATGGAAATTGCTGACCTTGAATTGGTTCCTTGGATATTGGCACCCAAAGGCTGCTGCCTTTCTTCCTTCTTTCCACAATGTAACCTGTAACTGGAGACCCACCATCTGTAGCTGGAGGATTCCAAGTAATGGTAACAGCCTCTTTGGAAACATCCGTAACTTGAGGTTGGGAAGCCTGTCCTGGAGGATCTGAAAAAAAGTTTAAGCGTGATCAAGCAGAGCACAAGTGAAAGAAGATTCTTTAATTCCTAATTGCTTTTCTATATGTTTTTACAGACAGAGGCCTGATAGAGAAGCAACATTCAAATATATTAATATTGAATAACAATTAGAAACCTGTGAAAATGTCTCCCGAGATAGCCCTAATGTCCTAGAAGAACCATAGCAACATGGAATAATAAAATCCTAGATCCAGAAAGGGCCATTGGAGCCACTGACTCCAACCTTCTGCTCTAAATTAAAGCATCTCAGACAGATGGAGGTCTAGCCTCTGCCTGGACACATCCAACGAAGGGGAGCCCACCATATATCTGGGTAATTTTATGTGTGCTGCATGTAAAAAAAAAACAGATGGAGTTTCAGTTGCACTATTTCTGTGCTATTTCCATTTATTTCTGTGCTTCTTCAGGATATTGAAATTGAACATTCACATCTCCTTCATAAAGAGATAGATGAACTATCTATGAGAGAAAACTTGCATAGTACTCCCACTGTAAATAAGTCAGAATTTTATTTCTGACACTAAAAATAGATGAATCATAAGAACAGGATCTGAAAGGAACTAGTATTTGATCCAATATCCCCAAAAGTTCACATAGTAATTTCAGGCTTATAGTAAAACAAAAGTGGTAAATATAAAATTAAGTGAAAAATAATGATTGACTGCAAAGTTGCTGGGGAAAGACAATTGCATATTGAAATTACCAATATAAATATGATTAAGAATTGGCCAATGAATGAACAAAATACCTGTCTAGTGAATAAAGAATTCTGAAAACATTTGAAGATGGTGCTTGGGTTCTATAACTTAGTAAATTCTAGAAATTCATACTGGTCTGTTCCCTATCCTACCTGTCAATTCATAGGAACAGAAGCAGCGTTCTGCCGGATCAGACCCTGGCCCACCTGGTCCAGCAGTCTGTTCTCACAGTGGCCAACCAACTGCACAAGGAAGCCCACTGGTCTCCCAGCAGATGGTCTTCAGAGGCAAGCACGCTACCATCAAGGCTAATAGCCATTGATCCCCATGACTTGAATTCCCAACTTGTTGGCCTGTAAGTTAGTCATCAAAGCAGAGCAAGAGGCACCATAATTACAGTCAAAAATTAACTTGGGAAGGATAATTATAAAATCAGGTAAGATACCGCAAATCATGATGGTTCAATATTCTTAGTCATAGACAAACTTTGTTACAGATCACTGACCCAGACTTCATTAAAAAAAAATCAATATGAAGTATTACATACTTGGTATGTAATACAAAGTAAATGTGACCCAAACAATAGAAAGGCATGATAAAGAGGGCTATAGTCATGCATAGCCTACTTTGCTGTCAACAACACAGGAATTCTACAGGCTACCAATGTAGGCTTTGCAACAGCAAGAGTTATCTTGGGATCTTTATCCGCCAAAAGAAGCTGCACCTAGAATTCTTCTGCCTGACCTGGAAATGGACTAAGAAGAGGTGTCAGTAACTCATTGTGGGTGTTTCGGTAAATATTACAGTACGGTAAGATACGATCCTATGATGCAATGTTCCCATTGTTGCAGGAGCAAGGCTTTCAGCATATGGGAGTTAAATATTCTTTCTCAAGAAATGTGGTGATTAGATCTGGACTATTAAACCCAACTCTATACACTGAGTCCCCTTTGAGAATCCTCACCTGGGCTTAATCACAACAAAATGACACTAAAGAAAAGTCCTGGTGGACATCCATTGCCGTTATTCAGTTCATACAGATGCATTGGCTCAGCAATTCCATCGAACGAATTGAGATGCTTACCAATCGGATTCCCAGCAAAAACTTCTTCTGTTTCTAGTGGTTCACTTGCACCTTCAGAATTTACAGCCAAGATTCGAAATTGGTAGGCTTTCCCTTCTTCCACCTTATCCGTGGCAAATGTGGTGTCCTTGCTTTCAATTTCCCCAATTTTGATCCAGGACCTTTTCCCAACTATTCTCCGCTCAATAATAAAGTGGGTCACTTGCTTGCCTCCGTTGTCTTTGGGGGCTTTCCATTTCATTTTGATGCACTTCCCTGATTTCTCCAAGAATTCCACTTTTCCTTGGGGTGGTTTTGGTTTGTCTGAAGTGCAAGGAGATCGGTGGTCATGCAATGAAATGATCATAATGAGAACAGCTTAGCCAAATATTTTGGGACTCCCGCGGGTGATGAGGCTTACCAAATTTGCCTTAATTTCAACATACAACAGCTCTTCATTTGATCACCATCGCATAGCAACAAGTTCCAAGACCATCAGAGCCTCAAAGAGCTTAATAGCATAAAGCTGGGCACCTGCTCCCCCAGAATCTGCTGCTAATACTTGCTCTGGATCTCATGTGCTCACATTCTCCTTCTAAAATACACCGTGCTTTGGTTTCTGTCCCCTTTTCTATTTATGGTTATTGTCCATCCCTTCCAATTTTCCCCAAATAATTGCATTCAAATGGGTTGTTGTTCAGCAATCGTAATTCTCAGCCACTATAGCCACACAGTCAGCATTACTTCCAAAAAGAAGTGCATAGAATCACCTTTTTCTTTTCTATAGAGCAGTGTTTCTCAACCTTGGTGCTTTAAGCTGTGTGGACTTCAATTCCCAGAACTCCCCAGCCAGCATGGCTGGCTGGGGAGTTCTGGGAGTTGAAGTCCACACAGCTTAAAGCAGCCAAGGATGAGAAACCCTGCTATAGAGAGCATCTGGTCATACTGGCAGTGGTGTCTGCAGGCAAGATAGCAGAAACGGTGTCAGGATCCAAGCCCCCCCGCCCCCCCCATTGTATGTGCTTGTGATATGAATGCTTGTACAAAAGGGGTGGAGCTTCAATCCTGCCACCGCTTTTGCTATCTTGCCTGTTTTGACCCCCATCCTGCAGGCACCTCTGCCCCCTGGATTGGATCGAGGTTTATTTTTAGAACCTCAGATCTATTTAAATGCTTCCAAGGCTGTGATAAGATAGCAAATTAAAACAATATATGAAATTTTTAAGAACAGCACTTTTGATGGTTTACTACATTATGTATGAGTAATGCCACCCAGAGTTTCACCCAGGACTTACCAATGACATTAAGGAATAAATGAGCAACAGCTGATCCACAGTCACTTTTCAGCCTCAGCATAATGGTTCCAGTGTCTTCCCTCACGCATTTTGTTATGGTGAGCAATGCTTGATCATGGGATCTTTCCATGGTGACCCTCTCTTCTTCAGTCACCTCAATACCATCTTTGAACCAGGTGACTTTGGGCAAAGGCTTGGCCTTGAAGGGTACTTTAATGAAAGCCGTCTGTCCTGCCTTCACAGTTACTGGATGCGCAGCAAAAGCTTCCAGCACAGAGGGGTCAATAAATGGGGGGTCTTAAGGGAAGAAACAATGGGAAAATATGTCAGAAAGCCGCTAACGTGTTTATGCAAATGTGTCTGTCTCATTGCTTGGTTTTCACCAGTGACAGTGATAGGTTTTGCAGTAATAGAATGGAGACTCTGCTCTCTCTGTGGGGTTTTTTGTTAACATCTAATTTTTTAAACGTGTGATCATGTTTTTATTTTAATCATAACTTTTTGTCTTTTTGTAATGCCTGTTTTGATTCACTTATTTTATTTTAATTGTTGTACGCCGCCCAGAGTCGCTTTCTGTGAGATAGGTAGCTAAATACATGTGATAAATAAATAAATAAAACTCCTGAGTTAAAATTAAGCTATTTTCAGGAAAAAAAATTAGAATATATACAAAAGTGAGGCCTGAGTGACTTCAGCTGCTTTATGCTTCACATGCAGTATATCAAACAAGTTGTGGAGGTCACTTCACTGATCAACAGACCTTTTAACATGACAAAAGAGCTATGTATTTATTGATGGAGCTATACATTACATTAAGCATAATATGGTTTGCTTGGCTTTGATCTAGTATGTTCTGTAATCTCAGCCACTGTTGTTTTTCTTAGTATGGCTTGTCATCTAGCATGCAAAATCAACCATTCTGATTTATTCAACAAACAATGGTTAAAATGTGGCTTAGTATGTTGCATGACTCTAGATACAATGTTCAAGCAGAACTTGCACAACGATCAACCACTAGGCATGGACCCGGCCTCTCAAACAGAATTGTTGTTTCTGTTTCTCATTTTAAGAGTTTAAAATTATGTGTTTTAACAGTTGAATGGTTTTCTGTATTCCATCTCATAATAACAGCTCTTAGCAAAAACTTGCTGGTCAAGAATGTTTCATAAAAATCTGATACTAAAGGGCTAGAGGTGAGTGGAGCTCCAGCCTAATGGAATCACATATTTAAATATGCATGATTGTATTTTATATTAACATATTTCTTTTTCACTTTGCTTGTGCAAGATTACAGTTCCCCTCAGCATAGTGCATGTATAGGTAGCTACACTTGAGGCCTGATCTATTGTCAGGTTTTTGAATGTTAGCACTCACATTGCTATCTACATTATCACTTGTATGCTTCAGTGAACATATTTTTAGCCCCCGATCCATTTTTTGAGAACAGGTTGATTGGCAGTGGCCTGGGGAGGTAGGGGGTGAAGTGGCAAGTAGGCTGTAGTCTGGCCATCTGAATGGTGGTATAGGCAGAGAGTAAGGCAGTGATTGGCTGTAAATACAGGGAAGCTGTGCTGGATCACTTGATGGACCTCTTTGCAACACCAGTGGTCCATGAACCACAGCTTGAAAAATGTTCTTCAGAATGGACAGCTCCCAGATTAGTATAGTACGGTTAATCCAAAATTCATATGTGCTTCTTCTGATTAGGGATGATTGCTTTTGTAAGCTGCTTCAATTTTTCTTTTTTGAACTGAGGCAGCATAAAAGCATTTGTAATAAGCCAAAAAACAAACAATCAATCCAGAATACACTGTGTGTGTTAAGAAAAGATAAAGAAGGCCTTTGAAAAGCACGAAAAGTTTACAAATGGAAGTCAAAGTTGTCTGAGCACACTTCTCAATAAGAATTCCACAAATAAGGCAAATTGATTTCACAGTAAAACTTCATATGAAGTTTCTCCCGACCAGGTTCATGCATAATGGTAAGCCAGGGCTTGTTTATTTGTGGTCTATTGAATAAACCACAGTTGCCTGGATTCACACTATAGGCTAAGCAAAATACATGCTGCTCAGGACATGTGAATACAATTTGGTATTTTTCTGTACCCCGTAGCCTTTTGGTAGCTATACAGAACCAGGCGGATATCTAGTGTATTGCATGCTTTTGTGATGGAAGCCTAAGAGGAGATGGAGAAAGAAGTGCTTAAAGAAAAGGATGAGGCGAATTCTACAGTAAAACCAGAAGAACATCCCCAGAGCAGCAAGAATCCTGTACCTGCAATGCTGATGGTGGCCTCGCTCTCGGCCCCCTTTGCTCTGAAAGTATACTTCCCTTCATATTCTTCACCCATCTTGTCAATGATCAGTTTGTGCACAGCTCCTTGCTTGACAATCTGGATTCCTCTCATATCTGTGATCTGTGGAAAGAATTTTTAAAAAGACATGTCTCAAAATGTTCTGACAGGTAACAGGAGCCTCTGCATGACTGTATTAGTAGTAGTAGTAGTAGTAGTAATCTTTATTGTCATTGTACTACTTGTT